GGTTCCAATGTCTGACACCCCTTTCGGGGAAGACATTTTTGGTAATATCCAATCTAAACCTCCCCTGGCACAACTTGTGGCCATTTCCTCCTGTTGTATCACTTGTTGCTTGGGAGAAGAGACTGACACACACCTCGCTGCAACCTCCTTTCAGCTAGTTGCAGAGGGTGATAAGGCCACCCCCGAGCCACCTTTTCTTCAGGCTGAACACCCCCAGCTCCCTCAGCCGCTCCTCACAGGACTTGTGCTCCAGACCCTTCCCCAGCTCTGTTCCCTTCTCTGGACACACTCCAGCCCCTCAGTGTCTTTCTTGTAGTGAGGGGCCCAAAACGGAACACAGTATTCGAGGTGCAGCCTCACCAGTGCTGAGTACAGGGGCACAGTCACTGCCCTAGTCCTGCCGGCCACAATCTTCCAGATACAAGCCAGGATGACAGATATGATGAAGAAGGATCCCAACTGGTTTTCTGCTGGGAACCTTCATTCTATCAGTAGTATTTTTGGCATCACATACTGAGAAAATAGATAATGTAATATATAGCCTCTTTTTTATAAGTGTTTGGGGTTTTTTTAAATATAATTTGGTAGTTTGAAACAATTGTTAAATAATTTTTTGTGGGAGATATGTTCCAGCAGACTTTAATCCAGCTACTAGTATGTGGTACAGCTGCAACTTTCAGATGGTCTAGTTGCATCTTAGTTGCATGTTCATTAGCAGAGAATTATCCTGGTTGGAAAACTAGCTTATGATCCATATATTGCTGCAATAGCTTCTTCTGTTTCCTTGGGTAGTGTGGTAATATTCCTCTTCATTGGTCACATTTGCAAAGTGTAACCTTAATAGTACCTGACATAATGATCTTTACACAGGTCACTGTGATCTTCCTTAGTTAAAAACTGTAAAATGTTCCCAAAGCGGCAGATCTCCATCTGCTTTGGATTGTTCTAAATGACTGTGCAAGTGGAGTTTAGCAGTAAGTACAGTCTTAAATACTGCTTATGGAAAGAACTGTGGAGATTTTTCCCAAAGAAGAAAGTGTTCCTTTACATCTTCCAGTGTCACCACTGCCCTACATTGTCCTTTCGTTTTCCAATTCTCACATTTAATGGCAGCCTTACATTAACTATTTTACAGAGACACCCCTGTAGAGTATTTTAAGCAGAAAGTTGATTTTTAAAAGTGATTGTGGGTGACCAGTTGTTTGAAAAAAATGCTAGAAACTGGATTTGTTCTGTTGCCAGGTGAGTGAAGCAGGTGTTCACAGACCACATGTGGGTGGAATCCATGGACGAAGTAATGATGGAGCTTATTCCCTTGTATTAGCTGGAGGATTTGAAGACGAAGTGGTATGTCATTGATGCGAGCAATGGTTTTGCTGTTCTAATGCGTCAGTGTTTGTGAAGATAGAGTTAAATTTGTTGTTGATCCCACAGCTAATGCTTATGCAAATATGATTGTGGGAAAAGTAACTACTAATAACAAACTGAATATTTTTTAGTATTTGGAGAACTATGTAAGCAAATATTTCTTAAAGAACGCTTATGCTCATACTTAAACAAAATACGTCAATTACAGCCAGATTTTGCATTGTTTAGGGTAGTTAAATTTCAGTACACTCTTGAAGTCTGAATTTAGTATTATTTAAAATCTGATAGTGTAAATATATGCAAATATGTTTTATGTCCTGCTTTGGTCATGATTTTTATTGCTTTCCAGACAGGTAGATGCCTCTTCCTTTGGGTTTGTTATGTTTCTAATTATGTGATACATTTATTTTAATGAATCAAGAATAAAATGTACATGTTGCTTGGTTCTGTGAGGTTCTGAAAGTTCTTGACTCCTACTGATGAACACTTTCAGAACTTATTAGCAAAGTCACAGTATCTTGGATTATGATCCCTAAAGGTGCTGGAAAAAAATTCTCCTTTGGTATTAACATTTAAGTAGTGCAACAAAAGCAATTACCCTCCTAAACAAAAGAGTAAGTGCGTCTGAGTTTCATCTCGTGATGCTGACCAACATTTATTTATGAATAGATTACTGTTTTCTCCAATTAAATAATGTTTACACAGGAAACATCCCTTCCTGCAGTTCTGCTCCATCAGGTGGAATTTTGAATCATGCATCAGGTGAAGGGTGAAGCAGTAAGCAGTCTGGTTTTTTGAAACATGCATAGCTGCTATCCATAAGGAAAAAAGCATTGGAGAAAGAAATAACCATCTGCAATAGCATCTGAATGTAATGTATTCTTTGCCAACAGCACCTACTAGGTGTTGCTGCTGCTGCAGAGTATTAGTTTTTCTTTAGGGTTTTTTTTTTTTTCATATACCAGATTTTATTTCCCAATTTACTTCCTTTTTCCCTGTTTTTTTGGAAAAGTTTGAAATAAAACTCCTATAAGAATATTCACAGAAAAATCAATTTCTGCACTTACAAGTATTGTAAGTACAGTATCTCCTTCACGAATGAAACTTTTAAATAAAAATTCAGAAAAAATCCTCTGCTCACATCTAGTCACTTTAGAAGAGAGAGGTGACTCTTACTTGAATTTCAGTGGAATGGTATAGGCACTTGTGTATAAGTTTTTATAAAACTGAGAAATAATTATATTTGGGAGGACTGTTTTACTGTATCTTATAAACTTTATGCACCATTTGTGCACACTGCAGACATGGCTGTCTTAATGCTCTTACTGCTTTAAATTGACTGTTCACTATTGGGGTAAAATAATTGCAAAAATATGTTTTGGGAAATAGAATTCAGCATCTAGCTTTCAGATTGTGCCATTTTTATACTTTGCTTTTGGAAACTTAGAGTCCTGGACACCCAGACTTGTCTGCAAGTTTGCTGAAGTCGGGACATTCTGGATGTATTGGAGTGATCAATAATGACGAGTTCTGTCAGTACAGGATCTGGCCTCAAGATTGAGAATGGGTACAATCATAGTTTACAAAATGAGCATTGGGTGAAATTGATTTGCACATGAAGCTCAACCTTTCTTAATTACATACATATAAAATATTTGTACGTTAATCTCTTGTAAATGTTTAAAATTGAATTTTAATTGCAAGTTACATGGCTTACCTATTTAGGATATGGTATTACAATAGTTAGCTTTAGAGTCTTGAATATGTTAATACTGCTGATTTCCTGGTCTTGTTCTTGATAGTAACCATAATAGGGACATCAGCTGAAGAAATGGAGAAGTCTTTCAGGAATTTAAAATCTTAAGAATTATTTCAGAATAGACTAACATTTAAAAACTAGATATTGGGCATTAACAGTAATTGTGCAATGACAGTGTTCATGATGAAAGTATTTTGACTTGTCTGTTCAGCAGATGAGGTAGCTGAAGAAATTTCACTTTTGTGTTGAGAAGTTGCCCTCCTATTTTGTGTCATTGTTTTTATGTATCAGAGTTAAAACTGCTGTTTATTTTTAAAAATTTCAAGATCTGTATTTCTGCTGGCTTGAGGTACTGTTGTAAAGATGGTAAATTAATTATGTGGTGTGCTTAGTTTAATCTGAACAAAGATTGTTTCTTCTTTAAGTGCTTTTGCATATAGGATCATATGGGAAATCTCTGAACTGAGATTCAGAATCTCTTGGAGAATAATATCTGCTGTGATGGTTCGCATCCTCTTGCAAAAGATTCTGAGAATATAAAAGAGAATAGCATCTCTAATGACTCAAAAGGGACCCCAGGCAAATACACTTACTGCTTAGGTTTGTTGATATTTTATACCAAACGCATTCAGTGCCTGGAACATAGCCTTCACAAACCACTTCATGAAATGGCTTGCAGTCCATTTTAAATGTTCTGTGTCTTTGCATTAATCTTGCGTGTGGGTAGTCAGTTCCAAGGTGTCAGTACAACTGTTATTCCACTTTTTTTAAATAGTCCACCTGCCAAAACCCAATATTTAGCTCACTAGATTTGTCTGAGCCCTGCCGTAAGGATACAGCATTCCAGAACCCCTGCTTAGTGTGCACTGCACAGTGAAAGCACTTGATCAGTTCCCCCAGTCAGTGCCAAAGATGTAGTGCCAGCACTGTAGTGAATTGCATTCTTCAGTGGCTTTAAATCAGGAGCCTCATGTCTAAGTGGTTTATATACAGAGACCATTGTGACTAGCAGTTTACCTAGATATCTGTGTATGATCTGCTGCTTTATTAACCAATTTGCTGGGTTTGTCTGGGTTGCCTGAATCCAATGTGAGCCTTGGTATAGAGGAGATGTAGCATCCTATATAAATTTTCTGAACTATCATGCCAGGCTGACTACATTACCAAGGGAACAGTTCCTTTCCAGTTTTCCCACCTCTGTTTTATAGTACTGAGAATCCAACATAACAAGTTCATTACAGCCATTACACTGAGAGTCCCTCTGTTGTTAGTCATCTGGATTGAGTATATATCTGAAATCCTGATGCTCAGCGCCATGAAACTTACTGTTTTCACAAGCCATCATGTTTCCAAGGTCTAAGCACCTGCTGGTTTGTGACCTGCTTGGAGCTCGAGTGTAATGTGAAAAAAATTCAGTGTCTCACTATATGGTAACTATCAGATATTTTCCTTTTCACTCAGGTTTGTTTTTTGTCCAGTCTTTTTACCTCAAATACTATGGACATACTTTACATAATTTGTAGGGAAGTAGCTTCGATACTTAACTCCTTACTAGTGTTTCACATTTGCAAGACAGCTCCTATTCTGCAGGTTTGCTTTCCATCTTCTTTGTTAAGTCCATACTGTTAGCTATCAGTCTGTACAAAATGTTAGTTAATACTGAAGAGTACCTTTCTTGTATTATTTGCTGAATTTCGTTGTCCCCTCTATATGTGCATTATTTTCAGAATTACTTTCACATTCTGAAAAGCCTTATTTTGTTCACACAGATGCTTTTTACCATTCTTTTAACTGCTAGTACTACATCTGTCAAACTAGCCTTATCTGCCTATTGGACAGCTTCTTTCGTAATAGGGTGTAGAATCTGTGTCTATACTGCTCCTATCTGTGCTTTCCCAAAGTTCATTTGCAGGACATTGTATAGCTGGTTGTTTCTAAACCATTGAGGAACCCATTTGACATAATGATGAAGTAGAAATGAATTTTGCTGCTGTTCAGCAAAGTACCATTTAGCTCTTTATATATTATGCTTTCCAAGAAACATTCTGTCTGGAATAGAGCCTTAGGTCAAGAACATAAGCTTTGGTTTCTGATTGTGAATGCCTAACATACTGAAATACTTTCTTTCTGAAATTCATACGTTTTCAAAAGACGTTAGTCATATAGGTGCAACATAGGGAGTATCGTCATTCTGTACCCTTCATACAACTGTGAAGGATCAGCATAATTATACTAATCTTGTTGTGTCAAACTGAGTTTCTTACTGGACTTAATAGATTTTTCACATGAACACATGAAAAAATAATCCTTATAATATTAAGCATTTATTTAAATACAGAAAATAAAAGGATGGAAGTAACACATTCTAGTTGTATGGATAGAGATAAATGGTTGTCAAACAGTAAGTGCATGTCTTTTGGACAGTCCAAATCTTCCTTGCCTTCCTTTAACTAGGATTGTAGTTGGCTAATTAAATCTCTCATGAAGATTGCAGGACTTTTTGCCCTCAGAAAAACAATCAACCAGCAATCTCCAACAGATAGTCAAAAATAACTGTAATTAAAGGATGTTGTCTCAAAAAACTGCTCTATCTCCTAAGTAATCTCCCACTACAGAAGAGTGTCTTTGACATGAAAAGGCTTTCAGGGTGTTGTGTCTTTGGTGAACCTGGTTTGAAGTTAGACCTGGTTTTGAATGGAGAAGATAATGAGATAATGAATCCATATTGGTTAGCCTGAATTGTTTACATGTTAATGTTTAGTTTAAAGGTCTGGTAATCCACCATTTTTTGACTGAACACAGAAAAGAGTAAGGAAAAGCTAAGGAAGTGATGTACATACAGTAGTTGTCTAGTACTTTCATTTGGGAGTTATTTTTCAAAATGCTAATCTTCTTCCATCACCAGTTAGCCAGATTCTGCTGTGTCCTGCTTTGAAGCTGTCTTCCTTACTGTTCAGAAATCTAGATTGCCTAACACTGAAATGATTAAATGTTTTCATTGTGGTGGAACCTGTCACAATACTGGCAGGTTCTTGCCATCAAGAGCAGTTGTGGGGAGACTCAGAAACATCAGTTACGACATATTCAAGCTTTGCACTTAATGCAAGGGTTTTTATATTGATTTATAAATGACATATTCAATTGAGCCCTGCCTTTTTAATTGGCACCTTTTACTGCTGTGCTAAACCATAAAATTATAAAAATAAATCAGACAGTTGGGTAGATAGACCAATTCTGTCAGCACTTACATGCATACAGACTTAGGAGTCTTTAATGGGGATGATGATTCTGTTTCAGGATACAATCCAATCCTTTCAAATTTATTTGTCTGATAGCTAATACTTGTCTTGAATTTAATAACTTCATTTAAAAAGGCTTAGGGTTTTTTTAATTTTATTTTGTTTTGTCATATTAATAATTTGTGCCTTTATTCATCATGTTTTACTGAGATGAAACATGAAATTTTGCAGTTTTGTGTATCAAAAAAGCCAATACGACTTTTTTTTTTTGTTCAGACTGAAGGTTGAAGCTTATGTAGAGATCTCTTTGTGTTCATAATAGCATATTTTACTAAGTAATTAATGCAATTTTTGTGTTTATCTTGGGACCAAACTTTGCAATCTGAGCATAATACCACAGGTGCTAATGGAAATGAGAGAATAACTGAGAGCTCTCTTGAGATAGCTGATATTCCAGTAACTTTAAGTAGCTAATGCCCCTTTCAGCTGCTGCATAAAAGCATCCAACAGAAATAATGTGGTCACACACTTAGGTGGTGATTTTACTTTTTCCATTCTCCATAATCTTATCCATCTGCTTCTCTTCTATGTCTGTGCCTGACCAGCTTATAGTACTGGAGCTTTGGGCCCATCTTCCACTAAAATGCCTCAATATGAGTGGCTGAAGTTCATTTCCTCTATAATATGATCAAACTTTACAAGCAGGACAGTTAAGAAATAACTTTATGGATAGAACATTAGAAAAAGACACATCCAGGAGGTAGTAAGAGAAGACAGAATAACAACGATCTTGCTAGCTTTTGAAAGAAAGTTTGGTGCAAGGAAGTTGAATTCAGCTGTAAGCAGTAGAAGAGAAATAGCAGAAATACATGTTTTAAGGTAAGAAAATGAGGAAGAGGTAGGAAGAAGGAACAGAAGGGAAAAAATAAAACTGTTTTAATAGCCTTTTGGCAGTTAGTTTGTTTCTTAAAGAACAAGCAGACATCAATAATTCCTTCTGCCAAATGTTTTCTTTAACTTGAATGTAGAATTTACAACAGTGTCAGTATCTTAAGATCTACTTTCTGATCCTGCTGAGAAAAAAAATAGCTTTACAACTTTACCTGTCACATGCAGGCTATCAGTTGAACACTGTTTTGGGCGGTAGGAAGGTCCTGCATTGTCTATAGACTCAGAATGCTATTGAGAAATTGTTTCAGTGAGTCATTACTCATCAACAGATCCCAAATAATAAGCTGTGTGAATATTCCTGGCATACCCCACTTTCAGAGAAAAACTTCATAACCACAATGGAAGTAGGTTCTGTAGGTTTCCCAGTACGTCTCCACTTTACCAGTATCCCCACTTCACTTCCACTTGGTATGGGCTGTATTTATATCCACATTTATTCCACTGTAAGGAGACTCTGTCTGTGCATCACTTACTCTTGCCATTCTAGATTTTCTCTCTCTACAAGCACTTACATATTATCCTGAGGTTTCTTCCTGTCCTTTTTTAGGAGTTACTCTCATATCAGAGGTTCAAATATCCTCCCCATTTCTCTTCATCCAGTCCAGATCAGCGCCCTGTATGGCAAGATCTCTGTCATTTTCCTGCACTTCTAGGAACTCTTTGTCCTTATTCCCTGCAATGCGGGTTGGTTTTTTGTTGTTGTTGTTGTTTTTAAATACATCTGGTGTGAAATAAGTGCATGTAGTTCTTCTGAGAAGTAAAGCAGAAATGAGCCTTCCATATGCTGGGGAGTGTTAAAAGATGCCAACTTCTTGTCATTTGACCTGTAACAATTAAGTTCCATAATTGTTCCATTTCTCCTCCATTTTACTTCCCTTGGACTTCCAGTTTCCTCCAAATCTATAGTTTTGCCTACTTATGCATAGAACACTCGGGTAATTAAAGAGAAACAAATGTAATCTATCACATGTGGAATCTGTTCAGGAGGTGAGCATGTATGCATAGGCCTTCCTTCTATCAGTGCTGTCTCTCCAAGCACAGTATCTTCTGTTTGCCTGTGGTTAAAGAGCACCACCCAGAGAACCATTCAGTCTTTCTCTGAAGGCATTGGAAGTTTGATGGTTTTAGCCCTGTTATATTTAACCTGTTTCCCATAAAAGTATGTTCCTGTAGGTAATTATGAATACTATTACATTTATGCCTTCTTGCTTGAATTATGTCTGTAGTGATTTGTCCTTGATTTATGTTTGTCTGTTATGCCAGAAAAGTCTATTCATTACTTTCTTCTCATCAAGATGATTTTACCTAGTTATTGATAAACAAAGCAGTTTGTAAAGAACGTGTCTTGTCCTGTAAATAATTTTCTTCATCTTGCTTGCATATGTAGTTTCTGTCTTTCCTCTATTTCTTTACATTCTTATATATATATGTTACTTCAGTATTTAATAAACCAAAATCACTCTGGATTCATTGCTTTCAAAAATATATCTTTCTGGTTTTCGAAACTTGGCACAAGCTTCTTATTCAGTGTTAAATTGCAGTTTGTTTAAATAAGCCTGATTCTTCAAGCAAATCCATTCCTATTTATATTATTATTATTATCACAATCATCTTCTTGTGATCTGAGCATTTTGTTTGCCTTGACAATCACTGAAAAATTAAACATAGCTCAATTCTGTGACACCTTATTAGATACAATTTATTTTAAATCCTTTCTTAGTAAGTAGTTCTTGTCTTGTTGGTCTTCCATTCTTTTGAATTTGTTTCATATATTGTCCTTGTACAACATCTTTCTATTTCTGTTATTTTTTAGACTCATTGAGTAGAATAAGAAGGCTGTTTCAAGAAACGATATACCAGAGGTTATACATGTCTTTGTTAGCTTTTGAGTATTTTTAACCTCATAGCACTTGCTTGTTATTATGTCTAGATGTATTTTGAATGACAAATACTCTAATACTGCAGCTGAATTTTGGTTACGTTTCCCTAGACAGAATAAAATAATTTGTATAATTAATCTATGGCTTTGTTTAACCAGCATTTCTCTTTCTAACTTTCTCTTTTTCTGCTGTTGTCAGTCATGAAATATCTGTAACAGTCTTGCACTGGATCCTTAACAATATCAGACCTTTAATAGTAGTAGAAATTCGCTGAATTTTACTACTGTGTAGAAGTATGTTCAGATTCTTGCTATAAAAATTAATATAAACGTATTTTCCTATTAAGTATTTATCTCCTAGTATTCTTCATGCTGTGTACAAAATTTGCATCTCCAAAGAGATGTCATATTAAATATATTTGTAGAATATACATATTTCTACAATGCTTGAATTTGCCAACAGTAATATGAATTTCTGTGACATATTTTCTGAAGAAAGTAGTAATACTGCCTCAACTTACGCATATGTAGATTTTTAATATTTTTACAGTTCATGGTAAAAGATACTATCAACCTTCTTTCATTTAAAACAAATTCTATGTAGGAAATGTATTACAGAATTATGTCAGCTTATAAGATGCAAATCTAAATGAGTTTAAACCCTTACTAGTTCAGAAGAGCTTTATTATTATGACATTAAAGCATTTGCCTTGTATGTAAGGCAGAGTTGTTTGTACTTATTAGTGCTTAGCCCATTGCACAAGCTGAACTGATCCCTCCAAGGTATTTACTATGTATTTCACAAATATCGTATTCTTGTAAACTAAATGGAAGCTTTAGGACAAGTAGACACTTGTGTTCCCTTCCTCAGAATTTCTGTCCCCTCCCCCAAATAGCTTTTTTTAAAGATGCAAAACTCCAATTTTTAAGGCAGGCAAAGTTTTCATAAGAGTTTTCTGGTGGATATGGCACATCCAGACCAGTAGCTTTCTGCTGGCACAACTACTGTAGAAGGACACTGATGCTGAAATTGAAAACACATTTTTCCATACCTTGGATTACAATTTCTCTCTGTCTGAGTAAATAAGTGAAGTCACTTTTTTTCTTTTTTTTTTTTTTTTTTGGTTAATTGAATTGCTTTACTTTGGAGTATTAAAATGAAGGATAATCTTCTTGCACAGGATCGAGGAGATGAATTCACTTACACTGGGAGTGGAGGTAGAGATCTTTCTGGCAATAAAAGGATTGGAGAACATTCATTTGATCAGACATTAACACACATGAATAGGTAAGTTTTGAAGACAAAAATTTGAAAGTATTCCAAAGCCAAGAGCTGGGTTGTAGTGCTTTAATTTAAAACTAATATTTTGCTATATTCGTTCACTCCTGTCATGCTGCTTTTGTAAACAGTGGTGCCTCTTGCTGCTAAGAGGTACTTTATCAAGAATTACATTTTGTTGTATGCACCTGAGTGAAATACATACTGTATTGCTGGTGCAACTATTAGTCATAACTGTGGTTGAAATTGTTCTACAGTTTTCTTCAGACAACTGTTTTAATTTAATGAGAAGTTTGTCAAAACTCTTGGGTGGACATGTTCTATTCTAGGTGTTTCAAGTTTCTTCTTCAGTGGTTAAATCAATTATGAAATTTAAGTAGAAAGAAAGCATGTTTGTTTTCCTTTGTTACAAGAAATCTTCTATTTTGCTAGCCCTTTCTTCCATCATAATTTTCTATAAAACGGAAGGAATTAGGGTGTTGCTTTATCAAAACCATGTGCTTTAAAAAGAAAATGTATGTCCAAAAGATGAATTAGACAACTGCTAAAAAGTGTTTTTACGTCTTCTAAAAGTCTGTCTGAACAAAGGGTTCTCCATCCTTTTCTGTTTCTTAGAGCATATCACTGTTGTGCAACTGTCCACTTAACACCTGTGGGGTGCTGAGGTTGGCTGAGACCTTTCCTTTGCCAGGTCTGCTTTTAGCTATGATCTGCTTTTGGCAATCAGAGTGTGGAGGGATTAGAATCATAGAATCATGGAAT